TGCTGACCCTCATTGTTCAGGTATTTTCACCACGGAGAGCACTCTAACCTACATGTGTCAAAGACACTACAAAAAATGTTGCATTACACAACACTAACCTAAAGTCTTCATCGACTCTGTTAAAACGAGCCTGTTCCTTGGGCAGAGCTCCACGACCGAATATTGGTTCCAAATAGACCCATTTCCTTTGAATTTGGTTCAAATTCTGCAGATACTCATCCAGCTCAGCTAATTTTTTCTCCCAAATGGACACTTTATCTTCAAAACCTTTGTAATAGGGAGAGTCCTTGAGGGACTGCAGAAGACAACGATGATCTCCAACTTGGTTGACTATGTCCTTCCAGTCTTTAATCAGCCTCACAGTCTTGCCTTGGCTATCTTCATAATCTGTTAACGTAAAGACAGCTCCAACTCCCCAGAGTTCAAGTTCACGTAATGCTTCTCTGATTGTGACTTCACCTTGGGCCCGACAATTCAAATCCTATTCAAAAGCATAAATAGATTTCATTCGAAGCTACAGAACTTGCAATAAACTTTCCATTCAAAAGTGTAATTCTATCTCTGTAGTAATAAAAATACAAATATGCATACTCAAGATATACTACAAAGAAGACAATAAAATAAAATTAAGTCCCTTTATTTGAAATTATTCATACCTTAAGTTCCATTGATTTTTCTATAATGACATCCGTCACTTTTAGCAGGTCTCCAAATAACAAACCTTCAAGCGTAGTGCCTCGGGGAAGACCAAGAAGGCGAAAGAGATCCAGCCAATGGTCTGCAGAAAGGTGTTCTCCTCTTATGTATTTTAGGAGCGGTATTATCATCTAAAAGAAAAATACACATGTGAAGTCATCTTTACAAAAATTTTATCTGTTTGATTACAGAATAACACTCCATTCAAAAAACCCACAAAAATTCACATTCTTAATCTGAATTTTTTTCAAATCTTTTCAACACTTTTTTCAGTTCCTGGCCTTAATGTTTAGGAGAATAACTCTGAGGAAAATTCGTTGCTAAATGTGTATCTATGTAAACTGCAATGACACTCCTGTTCACTGTAAAGAATTAAATGGATCTCCAAAGTAAGTGAAATGTTCAAAACAGTATCAGAATATATTTTATTAAATTGTAACTGATTTTATTACAAAAATCAAACAATGAGCTACAGAATGAAGTACATTACCCAGTAATACCAAAACATTTTTTGGTTTGTACTCCTTTTTGTAATTAGCATCTTACTTTGTATTTGTCCACTTCTTTTTGCAACTTTACTGTCATTACAGTATGTTCTTCCATCTTCCTCATTTTGTCATTCCAGTTAAATAAAAATTCTTCAAATAGATATGTTTTACTCCTGCATGAAAATCAAATATAAAAAGGTCATAACAGCAAAGTATTACAACTATGCATATAAATGCATTAAAAATAAAGTAACAGAATCATACCTAAAAGTAATCCAGTCTTCTTTGGCTTTTTCCTGAAAACCTTGATAAAATTCTTCATACAATGCCCAGACGTCTGCACAGCTCTTAATATCTTGAGATACAAGTTTTGACAATGAGAAGTCAGGTTCTTCCAATTTAAAATGATGGCATTCTTCACTGAAAAAAAAATAATATTACTGTATCATACATTACATTATTCCATTATACATTTATGGTTTAAGAGATGGCATCATACAGAAATAATTCTGCTTTCTTAAGAAAAGCCATTGACTTTATGGCAGAACATTGTTGCCAACTGCAATTTCCTTATAGTCTCCTTCATGAGTAGAAATAATAAAGGAATACAAAGGATAACTCTCCTACACAGCAATCTTCTCCCATATTCACAATTATTTTCCATAAACTTTCATTTCTTTCTCATTTATGAGAAAGGTGAATTAATTTGTGCCCCCAAAAGCAAAGCTTGAAAGAAAACAATTTTTAATAGATCATTTCTTCCTACTGGGTAGAAAGAATATGCTGATTTTGTTTACTATCATATTTAAGTACTAAGCTAAGAATTTAAATAAAAAACTGTGTCCACTCAAGATTTGCAATAACGAGCTGAGCTTACTGAAAGTAGGCACCTGTAGCAAAAATCTTTTCTTTTTGCACAACAGTCTATCAGATAGGACACTTACGCAAGAAAAGGAAGAGGTGAGCTCTTGCCCACCTAAACTAAAAGAGAACTGAAGCAATAACTCTCCCTTCCTCAATCAATATCCCAAACCTTCTCTTACTGAGAATTTTCGAAGACAGAATCACGGGAGGATGTTGTGTTGGGGGGAATTGTTTAGTAGGTTGATAGGGCTGGTACAAAGGCTGGACTCAATGATCTTCTAGGTCTCTTCCAGCTGATATGATCTATGATTCTACGATAATCAAGCCTCTAGTGTGCAGATGCCCTTATGTGAAAGCCTAAGGAACTTGTATTTTTTAATTCCAAAAAACTCTAGAAAAACTTAACTTGAAAAATTCACATGACATAATCTCAATGAAAAGGACCCTGAAAAACTCATGAAAACCATGTAATACAAATACAATTAAATTCCTTATATTATCTGTCAGGATAAAATCTAGTTAACATTTTCTGAGATAATACTGCAAGCATTACTAAAGACCCATATATTAATGCATAAGGTATACAGGGAAATACACATACATCAGCTTTTCTTTCATAGTTTCGAGTTCATCAAATTCTTTTTTTTTCTCTTTTATGATCTGAGCACTTTTCTCAAGCACATCCTGATCACCTGTTTCAACGACATCGTCACTTGGCTTTAGCTGATCCCAGCGAGCTTTAAACTTTTCCAGGTCTTGAAGATATACATTAATACGTGAAACCACATTTCCTTTCATCACTTCAATCTGTAAAGCAAGAGTTAAAATGAAACAGTTCATCTTTATTCTTTTGTTGTGTTTCTTTTTTTTTTTAACGGGGACCATGGATTTTTTTATGCTGGTATTTGACACCTATTTATTCAACCTACGCTACCTATTTATGTTGCATCTTGCAGCAGACAGAAGAATTGCTATTTGTATGGCATATTGGTATCTCCAATAGAACTTCAGGCATGTTCAGCAATTCGCCTGTGCACTGGAATTACAAGACTGCGCACAGTTTAGCAAAGTTGTGTCATTCATCACAATGTCAGAAATGTCAGAAAGCTGTTTGAGACACAAGGAGAGCAACATAACACTCGTTTCAGCATCGGTTCCACAGAAATTTCACCCAGTTATTGTGTAAACAGTATTCTTCCTTTAAAGGCTCTCCTTCAACTCAGTAACATCGGTAGTAACACTGAACTGAGAACGTTTACGGATTTAAACTAGAAAAGAATCTTTCTCCATGCTTACTCAAAATAACTTCAACATTTTTAGGTAAAATATTAATCTTTCACTGTTACCTGTTCTGTAATCATAAGCTGGTGGCTTTCCATCATTAATTCAAATTTATCCCATGTAGCTCTTAGGTTACTGATAGTGTCCAAACCTGCACCAGCTACAGTTCGCAGAAGTTTGTTTTTATCCTCAGCCTCTTGAAACACACGGAAAACCTAAATTCACATGGATTAAAAGTGTGTATGTATCTAAAAATCCAGCAAATGCAGTTTATCTAAACTATAAGCAAATACATAAGAATAATCAACTGTCTATGCACAGATTATATACTTACATACAGCTGCTGCTTTAATACTGTTTATAGAACAACATAAAAACACTGGATAAAACAGCAACTGAGCTATTTAGAGAAATTCTAAATCTTGATCCTCACATTATCACCAAAGATCATCAAAACCAAGGTCTCAAAATTCAATATCAGAGGTTGTCAGCACTACTTGAGATCCCCTACTCTATCCCATCTGCCTTACATCCATTGCTCCACAAGTTATGATCTTCCATAGGACCTCGCAGAGATAATTAATTGGGTAAAAGACAGAAAACAGAGATAGGAGGAAAAGGTGAGTTCCTGCACAGGAAAAGATCATCCATGCAGTTCTGTAGGTACCTTTGATGGACTGCTCAAGGTGTTTATAAAACAGTTGGAAAAGGAGGATAACTTGTGTAATGATAACCTTTACTGATGATAGTATCTTACTCTAAGCATCAAAATACTTCACCAGAAGAATGAACTTAGAAGAAATAGTGATTGACAATATCGGTAACAAACAAAATTCAAGTAGATAACTGTGAAGTGGCACATATGTGAAAAAATAAATTTTACATGTACAAGTTGTGTTCTTTGCTAACAAGAGCAGTTCGGGATTGACATCTTGGGGTTATGACAGTCACTTATACAAAAATTCCAGCTTAATCTGAGCAGTAGGAAGCAAATTAAATGTTAGGAGTCACAAGGATCAGAAAGAGAATTAAAGAGACAATATCACTATTTCATCATATAAAACCACAGTTTGTTTGTATCTTAAAAATTGCACAAAATTCTGTTGGTCCCACAGAAGATTACTGCAGAACCAGAAAAGACTTACCAAAGGGCAACAAGGACGATGAAAGTTATGAGTAGGGTCATGTATAAATACAGATTAGGTAAACTAAACCACCTCTGTCTAGAAAATAGATGGCTGAAACAGGACACAGCAAAGATAAATACAGCATCTAATTGGTCCCTCTCTCTTCCAATGTAAGAATTAAATGATGTGAAGTTAACAGATGGCAGATGAAAAAAAAATGAAAATGAAAAAAAAAATGAAAGGAGGGGTCCTTCATGTAAAGGGTAATCGATTTACACTTTACCAGAGGATATTTTGGATGTCAAAGATGTATTCGTCTTCAAGAGACAAGGTAACGTGAAAGAAATCCAGAGTATTAGTATATGCTCAGGAACTGCATGAAACTCAAAAAGATGCTGGATGGAGGCTAAAACTGTGGGAAAGAATCATATGTGCTACCCCAACTTTATATCTTCCCTAGGCAGACACTTTATCCTACTGGTGGAGACAAAATACTGTGCTACCTATGGCCACTGCACATTCTAAACTAGTTATATTAAGTAGAAGATGCCAGCCTAGAAAGCAAGTACAATTTTAAACAGCTGTTGTTCTGTATATAATAAAACAGTGTCGTACCCCTTCTTTTTGTTCACGGAGGTTCAAGTATTTTAAATTGTCTTCTGCTATTTCCTCTACAGTCTGGGGCCTAATCACTAATGTTTCCATGGCACTAGTGAGAAATGAAGAAACATCGCAGAGCTGACCTATATAAAGGTGGAAAACAACGTTATCAGGGATAAAATACTTGTAGCAATGAATATGCAAGTCAGACAAATGTCCTGTGACACAACACTGTCATAAGATACGGTAACATACGTACAATAGTTGCTTAAAAAATTGCAGACGCCAATCTTATGTGCTGCTTCAACACAAATTGCACATTTCTGTTTACACATAGCTTTTTTAATGTAATCCACTGTGCTTGGTGTACGATTAAGACCACAAGTACCAGAGTCACTTCTGAGAATAAACCATAAATACTTAAGGCATTTATTTATACATTTTCAAAATTTATATAGATCTTTTGCGGGTAAAAGGAGAAAACTAGACATTAAAACTGGTTAGGGGATTTGGTGGTTTTTTCGAGGGGGAGTGGTTTTTTTTAAAAAGAAACTAACTGAAGCCATCTTGCTTTAAATATTGAAAAGATTCACAAACAAAAACCTGATTAAGCTATAATGTTGTATTTTCCTAACAATGTAGATATTGAGATACTGAGAAAGGAGCTACATAATTCCAGGGAATAATACAACTTGCATTAAACAACTCAGATTTCAGGCTATGGAAATAATTAAATTTCTGCACCATCCCTGTTACGTGTTTCTTGTGCTGGAAGTTACATTTAAAGCACAAAGCACTGGTATTTCTCAGCATCTCCACATTATTCCATTTTGTCTACCTGTTCCAGATACAGCCAGACCATCCAAAAATAGTGAAAGATTTTGCACTCTTTAACACTCTGCATTTTTATAATCTCAGTGACAAGTAACTGTATGAAATAAGTCTAGATTATTTAAGACTCTTCAAGAAGTATCTCAATTTGAGAAAGAAAAAAATCTAATATTGCTTAATTACAGCATTCCATGAGGTCTTTTACAATTACCCTCAAATGCCTAAGAAACTTTCCTCCCTCCATCATATAAATTTTCCTCCCTGAAATAATATAGAAATTTCCTTCAGACAAAAGAAACAAGGAAAATAATGTTCATATGTATCATTTTACAACTAGAACAGATATGGCCAAAACAAGTGAATGGGAAAGATGCACATGGATGTCAAGGGGACTTAGATTAGGCCTGCAGTGAAAAATTAGTAACACGTTACTTTCTGTCATACCCCATCAGATTCAAACCTGTGACACTGATCTCTGCAGCTCACTGTCCCAAAAAATAAAATATTTCTTTTAAAATTTACATTAACTGAAAGTCCACAAGTACAACAGAAACAAATAATACTATGCACTGAAGTTATTTACCTTGAATAGATTTTCTCAAAGAAATGACAAGAACATCATACAACTTCTGAATAAAATCATCAATAACAGTTTTCACAGGGTTGCAATTAACAGTTATACAATCTATCCTGAGGGTGCTTCAAGACAAAAGATTAAAAGATTAAAAAATAGTAAATATAGTATATATTCAGTAGTATTCAGTAGTACACTTACATGTCATATCTCTAAAATCAATGAACACCTACAGTTTACCCTGATTTTGTAGCCTAATAAGATAAAAATTCCCCCATAATTCTAGAAATAAAAGTCACAGCATACTGAGAAAATTACTTATAATATTGAAATACTTATAACCATTATGCATATATATGCAGTTTTACGGGGATTGAGGTCTAATGCTCTGCTCCTCCAAATAAAAAATGGCTTGATTTTATATAACTAATGTCACTAAACTCAAAAGGAATATTTCTATACTTTAAAAGAAACATTTTAATTATTTGTACAGTCATATCTTTATATCTTTAGTTTCCACGAGAATTTACTAACCCAATTGTTAAAATACCACCATATTTTGTAGTATTTCAGAATCAATCGTTAATTTTGAGGGAGTTTCCCATCATAGCAAAGGAGGACATTAGAAGTTTTCAGGAAAGGTTGTGCAGATAAAAGGGAGTAAGTGTCCAAAAATACAGCTGAAGAACAAAAATCTAAACGTTTTTGAAGTACATCAATATTTTAAAAACACTTGAAATTCTACCTATATCTCCACATAAAAAGCGGATTTCTATTTTACTCTTACCCTTAAAGTATCTGGCAGAATACATTATTCAAAAAAAAGCAGTTACATTATACCTTGGAAGATGTTCTGCTTCTTTCCCTCTCACTTTTAATGCTTTGAAGTTTTTTTCCCAGTCCTGCTTGCTAGAAAGATGCGTCTTCACAAGAGATTCCATATCTACTTGGCCAATTACGATCCATTCCTTTTCAACATTTTTCATGGAAAAGAAATATTTTCCAGACTAAAAAACTCTGTTACTCAATAATATTGAAATACTTCCATATTTTCAGGCTATATTCTTTTTAACTTTTATGGTCCCTCAATTAACTACAGATTCTTTTAGTGCAGAAATCAGGAGGCACAAAATGGTTTGTTACATTCATACATTTAAGGATAATGAAAACAGATTTTGAACAAGAGTAAAAAGACAGCTATAATGAGTTTTAAACAGAAACTGTACATGCCTTAAGCTACGTATGTGCTGAAGTGTTTGGCTTAACATGGATGGACTTACTAAGCTTTTGCTTACATGCCTTGCAGAAAAGAACAATAATACACGAATGCCACCGCTCAGTTAATCCTAGAATGTCAGGAATTTAAAATAATACAGTAAGGTATTGAAAATACCTTGAATTGATTAGAAACATCTGTTAGCCTTCTGAACAAATCCTCTGCTTTACTGAAAGCAGTCAGAAATCCATTTGCATTTCTTTCGGTCATAACAGTAAATATAGACTCTTCTTCTGCTTCACTCACTCCCCTGAACTGATTTGGAATGGAGATAAATCTCTTCATTTCTCTATAATATCTAGCTCGTACTTCTTCAAAAGGAGGTCTGAATTGCAACCGGCCTTGCCTGAAACATGAAACAAATCATACAAAACCTGATATTTGACTGTGATTTGAGCCAGAATATTTTATTAATACGAGAGAAGAAAATATCTTACTTGAATGTTAGATCAATATTTATTTCTGGTAAATTTTCATTGAGTGCTTCTAAGCCCATTTGATACTGATGTTCCAGAGCTTTGTAAAGTTGATGATTCCAGTGCTGTCTCCAAGCTTTCATATCACGTGACTTGAAACCCTAAAATTTAACAAGGTTTATTTTATTTTGTTTCTCAAAACATAATTATAACCTGAAACTGAGTACAGTACTATGTCTGAAGACCAGGATCTTTATAAAATTCAAAGATCTATCATACTACTGGAACAGGCTCCCCAGGGAAGTGGTCATGGCACAAAGCCTGTCAGAGCTCAAGAGGCATCTGGACAGTGCTCTTAGTCTCAGTCCTGCAGGGAGTTGGACTTGATAACCCTTGTGGGTCCCTCCCAAATCCAGATATTCTATGACTGATTGTCCAATTTGAATATTAAGAAGATCTAGAGCTATTATATTTACTTCGGATTAATATAGGAAAAGAAAAAAACTTAGCCAGATCAAACCAGTTTCTATGGCAGTTCAGTGTAATCACTGAGGTTCATCATTTATTGGTTTACTATGAGAGTCTTCAAGGTTACTCAAAAATGTGTAGGACTCTGCTAGAAATAAGAACTGCCTGAATGAGGGATCTAAATCTGTCTCACACCTTTTATTTTCTTATGATATGCAAGCTACCTTTTAAACAGTATTTCAGAAAATTCTTGTTTCCACAAATCAATGATAACAAATTATATTCTTAAACGAAATCTCTTCTTCAAAGATCACAAGGGTCTTTACCAACCTAAATGATTCTATGATTCGATTCTAAAAGTTGACAGTTGATAAGTGAACAAATAAAAATGTGGCTTTTTCATTATTTCAGGCACAAATGAATTTTAATTCTAACTTTTATACATTTTATTCTAGTCTGCCTGGCGATCATTCTTATCTGCATCCACTTCTTTATTTTACCTTGCATTAATGGCTCAGGCACAACTGATGTACATGACCCAAGGTTTTCCCATTTCTTCATCTAACCCATCACCTCACCAAGCACTGCTCCTCTCCCATTAATAATATGATATAAAAAACATTATCCTCATCCTCCTCATCTGGGATTTCACCTCATATCTGGCATCAACCAGTACAACAGTCAGTCTTCCTGAGCTAGCTAGCAACTCCTTCAGTGAGAATTTCTTCAATCACGCTATGTTTGAACCTTAAATCCCGATTACTGCTGAAAAGTCAAATGTTCACAGTTTGCAACATGATAACAAAATCCTGCCTGTGATTCGAGGCTGGCGAAACCAGTTCTAAGCTCCTGAAGTCCATCTTTCCAACGCTGCTGCTGCCGAAGTAGATCAATATTCATGAGTGATATAACCTGTTAAAAGAATTTTAAAGGATAATAAATACATTCATCATTATGTAAATAAAAGAAAGGGTAAAGTAGGCTATAGGATATATGATTTCATGGAAAATATACCTTTTCAATGAAGTTTGTGTGCCACTTCCTTAGTTTTCTATTTTCAGTTGAAAGTCGTTCAGCAGCAGCTTGGAGTTTTTGGATATACGCTTCTAATTCTCTAGGATTATCCCATGTTATTTGAGCTTTTCCTCCAGGACCAGATTTTGAATGCTTGAAAACCATACAAACTTTGTGAGATTTAATGACAGATATAGTCTACCACCTAACATGCAAGAAGTGATAATATGAGAAAGATGGTTTTACTCCTAGTAAAAACCAGAAGACCTCCCTCGCACTCCTGCACTAGACACATAATAATACAGCAAATCACAGATACGTGGACATATCATTATAGCTACATCAACACACTGGGGAAGGATTAATGCCAGACTCCTAACAGAGCATAAGCAGATATGTTAAGCTGAGAGAACACCTTAACTCCCCACTTCTCTGTTCTGCACAGACCAAAAAACAGTGTGATGCTAATAACTGCTATCCAACTTAACCTGTTTCATAGATCATAGAATGGCCTAGGCTGGAAGGGACCTTAGAGATTATTTTAATCCAGTCTCCCTGTCATGGGCAGGGACGCCTCTCAACTAGATCAGGCAACACATGGGCACCGAACGGGGACCAAACCCACGACCTTGGCGTTATCAGCACCACGCTCTAACCAACTGAGCTAACCAGTCCCCTGTTTATTTTTTAAATTACACTGTAAAATTCCACTGACTCATAAGCAGCTTTGGGGAATTCAGTTTCTCTGGGATTTTTATAAAGATTGTCGAGGTTTTATGCATTTTGCTAAGTTTGCAGTAGAAAATCAGAACACAAAAGCATTGCAGGTTCCACAGCTGGATCTACTCCTAAAAGATGTACGGCAGAAAACACGTCAAATAAGAGAATACGTTGTGGCTTCAAACACTTCCGCATCATAACTTTCTTGGGGTCGACACATCAAAGGAATCTGTGGCACAATCTGCAGCCAGTCCAATAGAAATTCAAGAGATTGCTAGGGAACTTTTTCCAGGACACTTCTGAACCTACAGCTTAGTTTGGATTCTCCATCATTTTGTAAGAATTAATCCCAACCCCAAAAGTCCCTATCACTTTCAGCGCCACTCTTACACTCTGTCTAGAAATATTCAAGAGAATTACAAAATCCACAGGGATTTACTAAAAGTTTAAAAAGTGAAACCACTCCTTAACACTAATTTATCTCCAGAATAACATATACGCCATTATTACCAAAACAGATCAAAATAATAGGTCTGTTAAAACAGGAGTTACACTCACAACTATTAAAGAATTGACCATAATATGGCTTATGTGTAAATTCAAACACTAAAAATAATTCCTGAGACAGTACATTATGCTAATATCCAAAGCAAAGAGTAAGCAGTTGTTTAAATGACAACACACAAAAAAAGGCCCGCTGATTTGAAAAAATGCTGCTTCAAGATGATGTGGCTTGTATGGGAATGTTGCAGGTAAAAATTCCACCAATAAACACAGAAAAAGCAACACAGAATATGCACAGATACCATTCAGATTAAAAATACAAAGACAGGGGTATCCTTTCACCTTAATTATCTGTTCAAATGCTAGAGCAGATTGCAACATCATTGGCTTCTGACTCTCAATCATCTGTTGATCAACAGAATTATAAAAATGTGCCACCTGTAGAAATGGAGAGATTAAATTTACAAGAACAGAAAAATAAATATTTATATGGCAATAAATGTAATGCAGGATACTTCTCAAAGTATTGTCTAATCAATACCATTAAGAAATAAGAATTGACTATACAAGTAAAAAGTTTATAATAACAAAGTACATATGCAATGCGAATGTGATCCTAGCTTCCTTCTAGTGATGAATTCTAATAGCAAAAGAGACTGCTACTTACACATCTGAGGCGATCACACTGGAATTGGTTCAGTTTCTGATTTGTTGTAAGCGGAACAGTTCCACTATGCCATGCAAATCTAGGCATCTAGTGCCACTTTAGAGGCCATCAAGTATCCGTAACATCTGCCAGGATATGGCACCACACCTGAAAACCATCTATTTGTGTGAGAAAATCTATTTCCCGATTGGCAGCTGCAGTAAGAGGGATACCCAAAACTCAGCTCAGTTGTCCACACAGCGACATCTAGTGCCTTTTGAGATGTTTAAGGTCTCCACTTGGGCATCTGTCAACGATCCAGATAAATGGATATCTTGTAGGTCTTGTGTCATCTCTGCCTTAGCTGTGCAGGTATTTCAGATACCAGTGACATCCCATATGAAACTGAATTGAGCCTGTGTATCTACCTAAGAATTTTTACCAATATACACTTACTTATTCATGCATCTTACAACAACAGAAGAAAACCTGATATGGTCTTTTGACTGAGATATAAGCCAAATAAAAACTTACAATGCATTGAGTCTAATAAAAAAATAACCCCCCCAAAAAAATCAAAGACACTTTTCCATTAAAATACTTCTTCAGACATTTTCACTTGAGAAGTAGCAATGATGAGGACAAGCCAGTCCATTTTATGGCATTTTCTTTCAGATCAACAAAGTACTTGTCTTACTTCAGTATACTCATACAGTAATTTCACATGGCTTTAATACTATAATTCATTCGGTTTCAAAAGAAGACACATTCCCAAACTGTAAAGCATTTCCCTATTTTTCTTTTCTTTCAAGGACTTAGCTAAGCAGCTCAAGAAACAAGTCACTTTCACACAGACAAATCCAGCAAAAAGCTTCATCACACAGTCGGAAAAGAGAATAGTCTAGGTAGTTCAATACCAAAGCTGGGATGTCAGAACAGGAAGTTATTACAGCATTTAATCTTATACCTGTTTGAGGATGACCGCCTGCTTACAGAACTTTTGTGCGCTGTTTGCAAGGTGCTGTATTTTAGCTGGTATAGCAAAACCAAGTGCTGACAGTTGACGTACTTCTCTTAAGAGCATCACCAAACGATCTGAATAAAGTATGTTTAGTGTTCCAAATTTGTGATCCAACTCCATCACAGGACTATTAGCTTGGATGCTAAACCAAAATCAAATAAAACACAGCATTTAATATAATTTGATATTGATCCTTTCTTAGATGCATTTTACAATAATATAATAAATTCTAAAAAGCTTAACACCGTTCTATTACCTTTTTCTATGGTTATTAACATTCTAATTTACTCACAAATTATTCCAGTAACCTTTCTCTTAATTCAAAGCCAGTGAAGACAAGAAGAAATGAACAATGCCTATTGGTTTTGGTCATAAAGTTTTTCCAGCTTGCTCCAATAGTTAACATGTAACTCAGACAATTTTTCTCTAATACACTGAAAAAAATCATCACGCTCTCTGAAGTAGGCACTTCCCAGGCCCCAGCCTTCAGCATTACAAACGGGAAGAAATACTCCAAGGGTATCAATCCAAGAACCAAGACTTGGATCAGTAGAAGGTTTTGGTAAACACAGTCAGATGCTATTAAAACATCAGCCTATCTTTAGATTTTACTCCATTTTATTCTTCCAGCTCTAGTAATGCTTCTACTACCATCCTTCTATGCTTCTTTCATAAAAAAACTTCAGCTTTATTACTTTTTTCATGGTTTTCCTCATCTTCTTCTAGTTCCCATATCCACTGCATTTCCCTTTGCAGTAAGCCACCTCTTTTCAATTAATCTCTTTGCATGTTTTAAAATCTCATAAAAACAAAAATTTATGGCATTAACAAATTAGACAGCTGTTATATATTGGAGTACTGAATATGCTTATTTGTTACATTTGAGTAGTTTTCATAAAATAACCATGAGTATTAACTCCCATATCCTCTGAAACTGTGGACAAATTATTTTTTCAGAGAAAGTTTGCAACACTCACACGTGCAGACAAAAGCTTTGTGGTCAATCAATTTAAGAAAAAGTTAAAATACATTTCAATGCCAATTTCATTATTTTGGTGAGTACAATTCATGAGGTTGAAATTGCTTTTCTTACCCTTCTTTCATCTGCTTTATTTAGACGGCAGAATTTCTTGTGAATAACATCTCATTTGTTACTCTACATGTGTCATCTGTGTACCACAGCTAAACCCTGATCTCGTCTGCTTTCTCGACATTATCACTGTATGGATCACAACGAATAACAAGTAGTAACAAGCAAACTAAACGTGTCTTTCATCCCAGGTGTTAATAGAAACTGCAAGATTAATTATTAACACTCTTGTATACTTCACCTTACCAAGCAAGCCTGGCAGGTGATGAAATTATAATAAACTCTTCCATTTTGTTCCTCCATTCACTTTCAATTCTGTTTTGCTTTTTTTTTTAATTTCCTTCTATTGAATTACACCACGGTATAGCATAAACATTATTTAAACAAGAATGTATTTACCAAAGTCCTGACTTGGGATTTGATAATTCTGACTGGATATTCCTAGACCAATCATCAAACTGTTCTTGTTCATATACTTTTAACTCTTCCAGAAAAGAATCCGCACTTTGATGAAAAGTTTGAAATCCAGATAAGTCAGATAGAAGAGCATCTGCCAGCTTCATAGCATCATCCACCTTAAATACAATCACATTGAAAAGAATCTTAACTTCCCAGTATTCAATCAGAAAAGAAAAATCACCACAATAAAAATCACTTTTACAAAGCATCTACTTGAAATTCAAAAACTAATTAGGAAATTAAAAAAGTGAATCCTGAATTGTGTCCCAGATGTTTGAACTCCCATTATGGTAAATTTGGTCTAAATAAATTGTCCACCACAAGTTTCTACCACTATTAGGATATCCCTGCGTATCCCACTTGTTTTTAGTTAATTCTCCATAAAGGTACAGATCTCTCATGCATCCTTTTATCTCTAAGGTCCAGGTCAATACTCAAAGCCATTTCAAATGGGATTTCACATCTACATGTGGACAAACGAATCAAAACCCTAGTCACTACAATCGGTGGAGATTTGAGAGCAATTAAAAAAATTACCACAGCCTAAAACACACACATGAGCAGAACTGCTCTCTAGGTCTTTAGCAGAACAAGCAGGTGAAACCTGAGCTGCTGCTGTTCTCTCTGTAGGACACCTAACAAAGGAAGGCCATGAAGACCTCTACCCTTTGTCACATTCAGTTGAAATGGCCCTTGAGATTTCTGCAGTGAATGCCAAAAAAAAAAAAAAGGCTGCAAATTATTGTGGGATAGGTAATTTTTTTCTCATTCAATCTGTAGTTACAGTAAATGGCACTTATGTTCACAGAAAAGATTTTGCTTTTAACTAGTCGATACTTTCCAAAAAAAGTTCCAGAGTTCCCATCTAAAGTGTAAATACAAGCTAAGAAAAATAATGTACATTGAAATAGAGTCAAATACCTTTTAAACACATTCTGTTGTAAGTGAACACAGAATCATTTGACATTTGCTTTTACTACAGTCTCTGTAGTAAATTCCTTGACAAGCACTGACTCAAAAAAGTACTACCACGAAATCCTTTTGATTTCAAGAGAGACACTACACTGGTTAGTAATAACAAGTGAGAATTAGGATGTAACAACCTGGCTATCTCTAAGTCTTAAATGCAATTTAAAAACACAAACTGGAGGGTAAAATTTAACAAAAAAACCCTCTCTCAGAACTTTGGTCTTCTTTTGGGAAAAAAAAAAATTAGGTCTTAAAAGCTAATAAAATACAACTTACCAAGCATAACCACTGTTAAGGAATCTTGATAATACAATTCTAAGGAAATCCATAACTGTTCTGTGGGGAATTCCCCACAGAAATCTCACATACTATGCTTTACATTCTTTGATAATATTGTGCCTAAACAGAAACGGAACCTGCTACCTTCAGCTCCAGCTGCCGTACCCATACAATATTATTGACAACTTCAGAAAGGTTTTTGCCTGACAGTGGTCCACAGGCATCACCAGGAACACCATGGCACCGAGTTTCAAAGTCTGTCTGATAGTCTAAACACAAGCAAAAGATTCATGTTAGACAGAAACCTAATAGTAGTAATAAAAATACACTAGGGATACTGACATGACTCTAAAAGTAAATTAAGAATTCTAGTATTTGCAAAAAAACCCTAATACGACTCAACACTTTTAAACCCATGTTTACCTTTGATATAATCTTGAAGTCTTGCCAGCAGTGTTTCCCTCTCAAAAAGCAATTCTTTATTTATATTTGGATGCTTTATCAGATCCTTATATTTCTGAAATGTTTGAAGAAGCTGGAATATGAAGTTTAAAGACGTTATCTCTTTCTCCCGAAAACAAATTAAACATATTCTGACACTACTCATCAGTGTTGTATGCAAATACTGTCTTTGGCTCTCAGTACATATTCCAGTGCACTAAACTGACTACTTAAGAATTCAGTAAGTTTATCTTTAGGAAATTTTTCAGACTACAAAAATACCCATACCTGCTGAGGACTGTCCTGAATTTCTGAAATAAATTTCTTCAGTTTGCTTGCTATTTTTTGTTCTGCTGGTGCAATAATTCTTTCATACTGAGAGACTGCTGCTTTCCATAATGGCTAGGGATAGTGAGTTCATATGTTAGTTTATGACTATTCATACACATCAGAAAAAGTCACTGAAAGAATGTGAATAAATTAAAAATAAGCATTATACCTCTGTGTAAGGATTATAGTGCACAGGATTTAGGCCAGCAAAGGGTTCAAATACTTGGCCAAGATGTAAAGCACTTTGTTCTCCAGCTGGCAAAAAGAACGTAAGTTTTTCATGCAGTGTTCTAACAGTTAGCACCTATAATAGAAAAAAAAATAATAGATATATCCAATATATATATATATATTAGATAAAATTTACATTTAAAAGAAAAAAGTACAAGGAACACAGAGTATAGTACGGTTTCAGTTGGAATGGACCTTAACATGGGCAGGGACACCTCCCACTAGACCAG